TGATCAGAAGGTCTTAGCAGGGAAAGGTAAAAAGAACTACTCAACTGAATTACAACTTTTGGAACCATTTTGATGGACCAACCATCGAAAATAAAATAAAATCATGTCCCGGTTTCTTTGAATATTGGAGGAATGTGGATTTTTGTTTGGTGTGACCGAACCCCAGAGTAAGGCTGCCTAGGTATCCTTTTGGAATCGGGTCAAACGTAGTTCAATTAACATGAACTTGTTTTGATGATTTTTTTATTTGACTTTTCTTTTTCTTTTTCTTTTTTTGCTTTACTTTTTTTTTCTTTGATTGAGTACATTGGTTCCAACAGAGGGGAAACACAAAGAAATATAAACAAGGCTTCAAAGGGCTAACTAGGGTTGACCAATGTTTGGGTAACGAGAATGATAGCCTTTCGTCATCCTAGCCTAAGAATGCTAAGTATATAAAAAAAAATGCCCCAGCAGAAGCGTGTCAGACATAGTATCTCTTGACCGCATCTGCGTTGACGGATATATCTGTCACCTTTCCTTCTATATTTGTCAAGTGTAGAGCTCCTTTGACAATACTTTTTTGATAAGGTAAGGACCTTGCCAATTTGGGGCGAACTTTCCTTTTGCTTCTTCCTTGTGCGGAAAGATGTGTTTCAAAACAAGCTGTCCTACCTCAAATTTTCTTGGGCGCACTTTCTTATTGTAAGCACGTGCCATTCTTTGTTGGTATAGCTGACCAAAACAAACTGCCGCCAAACGCTTTTCATCAATCAAACTCAATTATTCCAATCGAGACTTCACCCATTCAGTGTCCTCAATCCCTGCTTCAACAATTATTTGGAGAGAGGGAATCTCAACTTCAGCAGGTATGACCGCTTCAGTGCCATAAACCAACAAGTAGGGCATCGCATCGACTGATGTACGGACAGTTGTCCGGTATCCCAAAAGAGTAAAAGGCAGTTTCTCGTGCCATTGCCTAGACCCTTAGACCATCTTCCTAAGAATCTTCTTGATGTTCTTATTCGCAGCTTCAACAGCTCTATTAGCTTTGGGCCGTAAGGAGTAGAATTGCGATGCTCAATTTTAAATAGCTCGCATACTTCCTTCATCAGATGACTATTCAAATTAGCAGCATTATCGGTAATACTGGTTTTTGGAATACCGAAACGACAGATGATGTTGGAGTGAACAAAGTCTACTACTGCTTTCTTGGTAACTGCTTTCAATGTAATAGCTTCCACCCATTTGGTAAAGTAATCAATTGCAACCAAGATGAATCTGTGCCCATTTGAAGCTTTTGGCTTGATGGGCCCAATGACATCCATTCCCCAAGCAACAAAAGGCCAAGGAGCCGACATAGGATATAACTCTGAAGGAGGCGAGTGAATCAAATCACTGTGAATCTGACACTGGTGGCACTTGCGAACAAAATGAAAGCAATCTCGTTCCAGGGTAAGCCAATAATATCCTGCCCGAAGGATTTTCTTTGCTAGAACATATCAATTCATGTGCGGACCACAAACTCCCGAATGCACCTCATTCATAATCATTTCAGCTTCTTTGGCATCCACACATCTCAACAAATTCAAATTCGGAGTTCTTTTGTATAGGATTTCCCCACTCAAAAAGAAACCATTAGAGAGTCGCCTAATAGTTCTCTTTTGATCCCTATTAGCATGTTTTGGATATTCTCTTGTTTTCATACACCGTTTGATATCACGGTACCATGGTTCACCATCTAGTTCTGCTTCAATTGTATTTTGCAATAACCATGTTGATCTCGAATTTGAATTTCTAATGGGTCAATGTGAGTATTACCCGGATATGGAAGCATTGAGGCCAGGGTGGCCAAGGCATCCGCTAATTCATTGTGAAACCTGGGAATGTACCTGAACTCGATGGACTTGAACCTCTTGCTAAGATCTTCCACACATTGTCTATATGGAATGAGCTTGATGTCTCGAGTCTCCCAATCACCTTGAGCCTGCCGAATAAGCAAATCTGAATCTCCCATCACCAACAGTTCATGCACATTTAGGTTTATTTCCATGTTTAGACCCATGATGCAAGCTTCATATTCTGATGTGTTTTTTGTACAGAGGAAACGAAGCCGCGCCTTGGCAGGATAATGTTGCCCGTTAGGTGATACAAGAATTGCCCCAATCTCTATGCATTTGATGTTGATAGCCCCATCAATGTATAGTTTCCAAACTTGACTATCATCTTGGATTGCTTCTTCAACTAAATTAACCTCTTCATCTGGGAAGTATGTGTTCAATGATTCATATTCATCATCAACCAGGTTTTCTGCCAGATGATCAGCCAAAGCTTGTGCCTTCGTGGCAGTGCGAGTGACATAAACAATATCAAACTCTATGAGCAAGATTTGCCATTTTGCCAATCTGCCAGTTGGCTCGACTTCTGAAAGATGTACTTCAGGGGATCCATTCGGGAAATGAGGTAAGTTGTATAGGCCAAAAAATAATGCCTAAGCTTCTGAGCGACCCAGGTTAAGGCACAACATGTCCTTTCCAAAAGAGTGTATTTGGCCTCATAAGTGGCGAACTTTTTGCTCAAATAATATATTGCTTGTTCCTTTTTTCCTGTGGCATCATGTTGACCCAGAACACAACCAAAGGAACTATCCATTACTGACAGATATAAAAACAAAGGCCTACCAGGTTCCGGCGGGACCAAAACAGGGGGATTTGACAAATATTCCTTGATCTTATCAAAAGCTTCTTGTCACTCATCTGTCCACTTGATAGCGGCATTCTTTTTCAACAACTTGAAAATAAGCTCACATGTGGTTGTAAGCTGCGCGATGAACCTGCTGATGTAGTTCAACCTCCCGAGTAAACTCATGACTTCTTTTTTATTCTTCAGGGGAGGCAGCTCTCGAATGGTCTTTGTGTTGGAGGGATCTAACTCAATGCCTCTTCGACTAACTATAAAACCCAAAAGCTTCCCACAATGAACTCAAAATGCACATTTGGCTGGATTGAGTTTGAGATTGTACCTTCGTAGCCTTTCAAAGAACTTTTTCAAGTCTTGCACATGGTGATCTTGTGTTCTGGACTTAACGATCACATCATCAACGTACACTTCGATCTCTTTGTGAATCATGTCATGGAATATGGTAGTCACGACCCTCATGTAAGTTGCCCTTGCTTCTTCAAACCAAATGGCATGACTATATAACAATAAGTTCCCCATGGAGTGGTGAAGGCGGTCTTTTCTGCATCTTCTTCATCCATCCGAATTTGGTGATATATAAATGTTAGGTAAGGGAAAGTTGTCCTTTGGACTTGCTTTGTTTAAATACCTATAGTCAACACAAACTCTAATTTTTCCGTCCTTATTTGGCACTGGCACAACATTTGCTAACCATGTAGTATATCGAACGACCCTGATCACATTGCACTTAGTTGCTTCGTGATTTCTTCTTTAATCTTATCACTCGTGTCTGTCTTAAACTTCCTTTATTTTTGCTGGATTAGTGGAAGATTAGGATATGTGGGAAGCTTATGGACCACTAAATCGGCACTCAAACCCGGCATGTCATCATACGACCAAGCAAATACATCTCTCTACTCAAACAAAACTTGAATTATGGCATCTCTTGTCTTTTTGTTCAGTATGGATGCTTATTTTTGTTTCTCTGGTTTCTTCAGGACTTCCCAGGTTAATTGCATCTGTTTCATTTAAGTTAGGCTTAGGCTTATTCTCAAATTGATCCAATTCCCTTTTTATTTCCATAAGAGCGTCATCTTCATCATACTCAACTTCTTGATTCATTATTTTGAGATTAGACAACTTTTTAAGATCAGGGCATGAATTTCGCGTGCATGTCATGTTTTTAAAGCCAGCATTAACGAAACAAGACTCCTTCCTGATGGGAAGAGGAGTTGCTTCCCAGTTGTTGAGCGAGGTATCTGGACCAATCAGTTGAACACTTCCACGGCTAGGGCCTCACCAACTTGAACCATATTGATGCATAGAACATCTCCTTGAGACCCTGACAAACTTCATCAATGTCATCCTGAGTAGAAGGATTTTAGACTTCTTCAAATTGTGGCTTGACAAAAGAGTAGGCAATGTGAGGGATTGATTTGGACAATTACCAACCATTCTTCTTGCGGGCCTTGGCTCTGTTTATGTCAGCTGATGTTGGTTTAAAACCCGAGCCAAATGTATCTTTCTTCGAAAAGGGAGCAATGGGGTACACAATTCCCTGCAAGGAGGATCCTAATCCCTTTCCTAGTTCATAGCCGTTCCTCAACATCAGCGAAGCTACCATCATAAATGTGGCTGAAAGACGGGGATGCAGAATTGGTTTTCCTTCTTCCATTTGGTCCACCTCAATCACCTCAAATGCTTGATATATAATGGATTCACATCCTTCCTTGACCTCGATATAAGGGATGGACGGGTCATTATATACGGATGAGTCATTCTTCCCATGAACAATAATTTCTTGCCTGTCATACTCGAATTTGACCATTTGATGTAGGGTGGATGGTACAACTCTGGCATATGGATCTACGGCCTTCCTAAAAGAAAATTATAGGAAGTTTTCATATCCAACACTTGAAAGACAATGTTAAAATCAACCTGGCCGGTTGTCATGGTGAGTTCGATTTCCCCAATAGTGTCTCTTCTTGAACCATCAAAAGCTCTGATGCTGACATTACTATCTGAATTCTGTTAGTGTCAACGTTCAGCTGTTGTAGAGTAGAAAGAGGGCATACATCTACACTTGAGCCTCCATCAATCATGACTCCTTTTACGTAATGCCCTTCACATTTGACCATAAGATGCAAAGCTTTATTGTGCCCAGCCCCTTCCTCAGGCAAATCATCATCGCTGAAAGAAATTTTGTTCACCTCAAAGAATGTTTCAGCCATTTTTTCTAGCTGATTCACCGTTGTCTTTTCTGAGACATATGCCTCGTTCAAAGTTTTGATCAACACACGACAATGTTCTTCCGAGTGCAAAAGCAGAGATAACAAAGATATCTAAGCAGGGATTTTCCTTAGTTGGTCAATGATTGAGTAGTCTTGCATTTTCATCTTCTTAAGGAATTCCTCTGCCTCTTTTTCTGCAACGGGTTCTTTCACTAGCAAGTGACTTTCCCTGGCCTGCTTAGCTTTTCTCAATTCCTCTGGTGAGTAGCACCTTCCAGAGCGGGTCAAGCCCCACATTTCATCTGTTTCTTCCCCTATCTCTTTTCCTCTGTATGTCATGAAAGTTTTGTTATAATTCCATGGAATAGCTTTTGTGTTTGTCACTGGGAGTTGTACAACAGGTCGGATCACAACTGGCTTTATTATATTTCTCAAACCATTATTTGGAACAATCATTTGAATGCCCCAAGGGATGTAAAGTTTTGGCCCACCCAATTGAACCTCAACCTTTTTTGTGCTTCCAGCGACATTGAGAATCGTTTTTTCAGAACCTGCCAAGTTTGAACTAGGATTCGCACCTTTCACAATCAACGGCGCCAATTGTAGCGGGCTTACTATCACTTTTGACTCCTACCCTATGGTTCCAACAACCATCTCTGTCTTGCCAGACTGCTTAGAATCTCGATCATCACAAATCATCCCAATAAAATGTGTATTATCGTGAGCTGGGAGCAGATTGTTTGTGATATTAGGAGTATCCTCATTGTTTGTCACCACAATTGCCTTTGCTTCAATCAAATTTTCAATGGCTTTCTTTAATGTCCAACAATTTTCGGTACTATGACCTTGGGTGTTAGAGTGATACTCACATCTTGCATTGGAGTCAAAACCTTTTGAATTTGGATTCACATAAGCGACATGATAGGTTCAATCAACTTCAACTACATCAACTTTCGAAATAGGATTATATAAGATTCTCCAATTGGAGTGAACTCTTTCTTTGGATCCTGTTCTCTCACATATTCCTGTCTGGGACGAGGATTATATGGCGCCTGAAAATTTGGCCGGAGTTGACGGGAGCCTTGTGGAATCGGTGCCCGCCATTGTTGGTGATTGGGAGTTCTAGCATAAGCTTGAGCATTAAACACTGTATATTGTTGCGAGGGAACTGAGTACCGGGGACCCTGAGGTGCATAATAATGTTGAGGAGAATTGGATTGTCCTTGTTGGAATTGCACATAATAAGGAACTATTCCTCTTTGAACTCCTCCGAACCCAGATGCCATCATGGATCCTTCCTCCTTCTTTTTTCGATTTCCGAAACTGCCTGACCCGCTTTGAATTGCTTGCGTGGTCGCCTTAAGGGCTGCCTGACTCACAATTTTACCCGACTTCATGCCATTCTCAACTATTTCCCCAATCTTAATCGCCTCAGCAAAAGGTTTACCAATGGCGGCCAACATATAATGGAGGTAATCAGGATCCTGAGCTTGGAGAAAATAGTCAATCGTTTCTGCCTCTTTCATTGGTGGTTTGACCCTAGCAGCCTGCTTTCTCCACTTGATTGCATATTCTCTGAAGCTTTCTATTGGTTTCTTCTTTATGTTGACGAGAAAGGAGCGGTCTGGCAACAACAACAACAAACCCAGTTTGATCCCAACAGGTAGGGTCTGGTCTGGCACTATATCAATATTGTACTGAAACTGTTGGACAAAATCTTGAGCCATGTCGTTCCAAACGTGCCAGTGAGAGATGTCTTGATCTATGAACCACTCTGACGTGATTCCTATCAAACTTTCCCCAAAATAATCCATGAGTAATTCTTCTTTACCTCCTGTTCCCCTTAGTTGGTTACAATACCTCTTCAAATGGGCAACGGGGTCACCATGCCCCTCATACTTGTTAAACTTGGGGGTCTTGAAGCCGGGTGGCAAATGAACATGGGGGAACATGCAAAGATCGTTAAACGAAATACTCTTGTGGCCTCCCAAACCATGTATGTTTCTCATGGTTTGTTCTAAGCTCTTCATTTTTCTGGTCATTTCCTCTTGTTCCATATTCTTGTCGGGCTTTTCAATCTCAACTGGGAACATGTTCTGAGGAGTATGCTTGTATGAATCTGGAACCTTGAAAGTCAGTTCTGGAGAGTAATGTTGGGCATCATGAGCATTCAACTGTGGATCATTGTTGAGCTTTTGAGCGAGAGCCGGTTGAGGAACGGTGAAAGTAGGGACAATGGGTATAGTAGGTGGTTTATTTCTGATGGGTGCGGTTAGAGGATGTGGAATGGATGTACTGGGGATAGTGGGAAGGTTAATGCTCGGACTGAATCCAGGTTGTTACAATGGGTTACTTGTTATGGAGATGGGCACTTGATTTGCAACTGACACATTATGAAGATTATCCGAAGGCCCTATGGGTAGTGAGGGCGGTGCCTGTCCATTCACCCAAGCTTGGTACATCTCTGCTAATTGTTGTTTCAACACTCTTACTTCTTTAACCAATCCCGAACCTTGTTCAACCAATTGTCCATGGATATCATCATTATGTGACTCATTCTCACTGTTGTTTGCCATTTTACTTTTTACTTTTGATCTCGTGTTGTAAGGGTGAGTCGCCAGTTTAAACCACAAACCAACCACCTCTGTTTAACCTTATCTTTTTAAAATGACAAACAACAAATATGTTAGAGTTCTTTGAATATTAGGGGTTTGAATAAAACATATAAGCAAAAGGAGGTGAGGGAGTTCATAAGAAATAATAATAAAGCTATAATAGCATTGGTTGAGCATAGAGTAAAGGAGCATAGAGAAAATGAGAGAACAAAAAAAATAGCACATGGTTGGCACTGGATATCAAATGCTAGTTCAAACAATAAAAGTAGAATATGGCTACTATGGGATCATAGAATATATAAATTTGATCTGGAAGAGCTTGATGAGCAGTTGGTACATGGGCAGGTTAGTATTTTATCAAGGGCAATCACATTTGGCTTTTCAGCAATATATGGGCTACATACTATAAAAGATAGACTAAGTTTGTGGAGGATGATGAGACAAATACACAGCACACAACAGGGCCCATGGCTAGCAATGGGAGACTATAATGCTATCCTACAAGTAGAGGATAGGCAGCATGGTACTGAGGTGCAAGATATAGAGACAAGAGATTTTAAGAAGTTTCTAATTGATACAGGAATGCATGAACTTCAATATGTGGGAAGGAACTATACATGAATCACACTTACAGTAAAATAGATAGGGGTTTGGTAAATGCAGATTGGATGATGATGATGCCTAATATGAAAGTGCAGGTACTACAGCCACTAGTGTCTGATCACTCACCTTTAAAACTAATGATAGCACAAGTGCAGGGGAGGAAGAAGAGACCACTCAGATTCTTTGATTGTATAGCTGACCACCACCAATTCCTACAGAAAGTGGAGCAAGTCTGGGTAGAAAGGAGTAAGGGGGGTATGATGCAAACAGTATAGAATAAGCTGAAGAGGGTAAAGGAAGTTATCAAAGATATAAACACAAAACATTACAAAGGAGTTGATGAGAGAATAAAAAGAATCAGGGAGGATCTCCAGTCAATTCAGGAAGAAATGAGTTCTAAGTTACAGAGGCAAGAACTAATTGAGAAGGAAAAAGCACTAAAGGGTGACCTAGAAAAATGGATTCTGATTGAGGAAAACATATATAGACAGAGATCAAGAGTGCAATGGCTTAAGCTGGGATATTCAAACTCAGCTTACTTCTTTGCTCAGATGAATAACAGAAGTAATTTGAATGGGATTCAAGTTATCACTAATGACATGGGGGTCCAGCTAGTGTTGGAAGATGATATTGAGGCAGAAATCATGGGGTACTACAAGAAGTTATTGGGTTCAAGTGCTGAAAATCTTCCAGCTATCAATCCAAATGATATGAAAAGGGGACCAGTTTTGAGCAGGGAACATCAGCTACTACTTGTCAAGCAAGTGTCCAAGGAAGAGATATAGGAAGCAATGAAGGATATAAATGATCTTAAAGCTCCTGGTTATGATGGACTAAATGTTGTTTTCTTCAAAAAATCCTGGCCAATCATTGGTCAGGATGTGATAAAGGCTGTACAGGAGTTCTTTGAGTCAAACCAAATGTTTAGACCTATAAATTGCACTGCCATTACCTTGATACCTAAAGTTAGGAATCCTGCAAGTGTCAAAGATTATAGGCCCATCTCATGTTGTACAGTCCTGTACAAAGTGATATCAAAGATTCTTACCAAGAGACTACAGTGTGTAATGGACTTCCTGATTGATAGTTCACATGCAACATTTGTTCCTGGCAGAGTTATAACAGACAATACTATTTTGAGCCATGAACTGGTGAAAGGATATGGGAGAAACGGATATCACCAAGATGTATGATGAAGCTGGACATGCAAAAAGCCTATGACTCAATAGAATGGGACTTTATGGAGCAGATATTATATGCACTAGCCTTCCCAGAACAGTTTGTAAGATGGATCATGACATGCATGATAATTGTGACATATACAATCATGATAAATGGTGCACTAACTAAGCCATTTGATGATAGGAAGGGACTGAGACAAGGAGACCCCCTTTCACCCTTTCTATTTGTGCTTGCAATGGAGTATTTGACAAGAAAACTAAAGAAACTGGCAGAGATCCCAAACTTCAATTTCCACCCCAAGTGTGCTAAGATGCAAATCTTACAACTTGGTTTTGCTGATGATCTCGTATTGTTTTGCAGGGGAGACATTGGATCAGTCAAATTATTATTCCAATGCTTTATGGACTTCTCAAAGGCATCTAGACTGATGATTAATAAGAACAAAAGTTCAATGTTCTTTGGAGGAGTTACACAAGATGAGTAGGAGGAGATCCTAGAATTTCTGGGAATTCAGAGAGGTACTTTACCAGTCAAATATCTTGGTGCACCCCTGAGTTCCAAAAGAATCTCCATAACACAATGCCAGCCACTCATTGACAAAATTATGGGAAGAATCACTTCATGGACTGCCAAGTTCTTATCCTATGCAGGAAGGATCCAACTCATTAAAAGTGTCATGTTCTCCATTCAAACATACTGGGCCCAAATTTTTGTTCTACCAAAGAAGATCATAAAAATAATTGAGGCAATGTGTAGAAGTTTCATATGGACAGGGCAAGGTATAGTGTCAAAGAAAGCACTATTAGCATGGGAGAAAATATGTATGCCAAAGTCAGCGGGTGGATTTAATATTATGAATATAGCAATCTGGAATAAAGCTGCTATATGTAAGCAATTCTGGAATTTATGTAAGGAGAAAAAGAAGATGTAGATACAATGGGTACATGGATACTACATCAGAGGAAGAAACATCTGGACAATACAGTTAAAGCAAACTTCATGGATGGTAGGTAAGATCATGAAGGCACAGAAGACTATGATGGATGCTGGTTTCAGCCATGATGATATCATAAACATGAACAGATGCACTGTCAAACAAATCTACCACAGGCTGCGAGGTACGTTTGAGAAAGTAAGTTGGAGGAAAGTAGTTTGCCACAATGGAGGGTGTCCCAGATGGAATTTTGTGCTAACTATGACTGCTCATGGAAGACTTTACACAAAGGATAGACTGCAAAGATGGGGAATACAAGTTGATCAAGAGTGTATATTATGCAACAGTGAAAAGGAAACCATACAACATCTGTTTTTTGAATGTTCATATGCAAAAACACTATGGAGCAAACTCTTAGCATGGCAAGGCATTGGCAGACCAGTACAAGGGTGGGATGATGAGCTAAAATGGGCAGAGAAATGGGCCAAAAGGAAGACTGCAACAGCTGAACTATACAAAATGGTGCTGGCAACTGCAATTTACTATGTGTGGCGGAAAAGAAATGGTCGAATTTTAACAACAAGACAAGAGGATGGGAGACAGTTTGCAAACTGATAACACAAGAGATACATTGTCGTAGTAACAAGAGAGTAGAGAAAATTTTGCAGAAATTAGATTGGTATCCAATGTAATAGATGTATATGATAACTAGGTGGTGGGGGAGAAGTTAGTAGGATAAGTAAATATGTAAGGGTTTGATTTACTCTGTAAATATTTTCCCTGGTAAATGAAATAATTAATTACCAAAAAAAAAAACATGTTAGAGTTCGGCATTTTGAAGATATTAATCACACATTGTATGTCATGCACCTAATGCCATTTTCATTTCTAAAATGAGCTTGGAAGGCTTCATGCTTCATCCCGGCTTATTGATTCATTTCATCATGAATTTAACACTCTTTTCTTTCCTTTTTTTTAAAATTTTATCTCAATATTAATATTTTTAATTTTTTTCTTTTTTTTTTGCTTTTTTTTTTTCAAATTAATTATGGCTATGATCGCATCCTATGAGGATTGCCTACGTATCATGACGCTGCATGAATCAGACCATTACGTAGTTCAAGAAAAATAATAACAATTTTGATGATTTTTTTAATTGTTTTTTTTACATATAAAAATAAAATAAAACAAACTAAAATATTTTTCATTCATCAAAAATAATTTTTTTATATACAATGGGAGAAAAGGAAATATATATAAACTGACTCTAACGACATGAACATGACGGGATTAAAACAAACATTGATAAGAATAAAAGACTCCAAATATAAAAAAAATTAAAATACGACAAATGAAAATGAAACAAAAACTAATTTGCTACACTAAGAATTTAATCTTCAATGGTCTTCTTGCTTAAGCTGATAACATCAATGGTCTGCATCTCTTGGCCTCCACTATCCTCCCAAAGTCTCGTACAAATTTTGAAACACCAATGGCAACTGGGGGACGAGGGCACGTGCCTGTTGGCCAACTTTCTCATTGTTTAGATGGCGATGATCATCATGAATATATGCTATTTTTTCTGTCAATCGAAGTACCTGCTCTCTGGCTTGCCCCATATTCATGTGACAATTCTGCAACCACATCTGGGTAGTGTTGAGGGCGTGTCCCATATGAGCCTCACGTCACTCATATTCTTCAATGCGACGGTTTAACACACCTCTCTCTATCATCCACTGACGCCGCTCTGCCTCAAAATCTGTGTGTTGATGACCCCTCTTCTGCCTTTTTATTTCTTCTAATTGTGCATAAAGCTGACTCTTTGAGCGTATCCAGTAGGCCCTTTCTATTTCAAACTGCTCTTTCGGTTGATCAAACTCCAGTTGTTGCCGGTGCACATCCTCTTCAATGATACTCAAGTCTTCTTGCAACTTATGTATTTCTGCATTTTTTTTTGCCTCAACTCTTCTGACTAAACCGATCGTGTTTGCTAGTTCTTCTTCTAAGTGGGCTACCTCATTTTTAGCTTGCTTTAGATCTTTATCCTTGACCCGCAAGGCAGATTGATAATCTTTCTCAATGTTTAAACGAATTTGAGCGACTCTGGCTTGTTGCTGGGCTTGTTGTTTGGCTATGGTCATCTGAGCATGCTCCAATTCCTCTTTCAGCTTTTCTATGGTTCTTTGTTCATTTCTCCTCCAGTTCGACTCCTCAGCTCTACCTCTAACCAACGAAGGATCATGAAACCAAGTAATATATTCAGGGATCACCTCTCCACGATCTCGGTCTTCTACCATCTCATTCAACTCCGAGACTTTACTTGCATACCAAATTTTCATAATTTCCTCTTCGTCATGAGGTTGATCGTTACCAAAATCATAACAAAACTTGATCATATCTCGGGTTGGTGGAACCTCTTGTCGTCGTACAAACTGTCGCATTACCCGAAATGGAGCATAGGGCTGAACACCATCAATCCTATGAGTACCAAATAAGAATGGTAATGACCTTTTTAGAGGAAAACCAATCGTAGTTCCAAGTGATATGTTTGGCAGACAAAGTAAAAAGTAGTTCTTTTCAGGACGTCAATCCCTTCTGGTAAGTCACATTTGTCAATTCTTTTCTGGTGATCATAAGTGTGATTGGCCCAGAGCTCACTAAAATTAGTGATCGTAGGATGACGATAAAAATGCTCCAAAAACCATATTTGTAGCAAAATGTTGCAACCATCAAAGTTTTGTGCGCCCAATTTACATCTAGTTAAAGCACGAAAAATGGAAGAAAGAATCATAGGGACCAAAGTATAATCATCCCCTTTTGAGGTCAGAGCCTCAACTACACCTGCCAAGCGGATGTCAATGTGTCCTTCTCTTTCCAGAAAAACTACACGCCCCAAAAAAGCAACCATAAATGTAAACCTTCTGTGTATCTTCCATGTTTCCTTGTCTTCCTTTGATTTCAATTTTCCCACATTCCTTTCGAAATTGCATTTTAGGTCGTACAAGTGAAAAAAAAAATCCCAACTTAACCCACTTGCCTCCTAAACCTTCATATTGTCTGTAATTTATGTTCAAGAGCTTCAAAACCTCATTCACATTTTTGGTACTATGGGCCTTTGGCGGCGAAGATTGCGGCCCCACCCTGAAAATGGGCAATTTCCTCCAAGGTCGGAGTCATTTCACAGTCGGTAAAACAGAACACATTGTTTTCAGGATCCCAGTGCGGAATCAAAGCTTCAATCACATCCCTCCTGGGCTTGATCGTCATCATGTGAACCAAATGTCCCAAGTACTTCTTTATCTGGTTTCGCTCATATTCCTTAAAATCTCTCCACCAGTCCCACAACAATTGTGGAATCTGATCAACAATAAGAAAATCCGGTATCCCTTCTGACCTGGGCCTCTTTTCAGACTTACCTCTTTCCCCACTCATGGTGTACCTGTTTATCCAGACACGGGGTTAGGTTTTAATCAAATATACTATTGACACTAAAATTTCGATTTCTCGGGTTTGACTCTATAAAATTAAATAATAAAAAACCAAACTGTGGGACTAAAAAAAGGTTAAATTAGTAATATAGTCATGAAATAAAAAAAAAATAAAAAAAAGTAAAAGGCCAAAAGGATTTTTTTTTTGTAAAAACAAGTGAACATAAAAAAAAAAAAAACCGGCCTCCCATTTCGCATTTCCGAGGAAGGTTTCAAGGCTATTTCGATAAAAAGACCGGATGCAAGGAGAAAACTGGTTAAAAGAGAAAAAACTGACAAAGTGACAATATTATTATTATTATTTGAAAAAAAAATAAAAAATAAAAAATAAAAAATAATAGTCCATAGAAACCCTTTTTTTAATTTTTTTTTTTAAATTGGGGTTGAACCTCATGAAGGTTGCCTACGTATCTCACATCCGGTGAGAATCAAACCCGCGTAGTTCAGTTAAAATAACTAAAGAAAAGTATTTTGAAAATCTTAATTTTACATACCAGAACCTTTCAAAATTTTATTAAAAAAACGGGTATTTTGTGAAAACTTGGAAATTTTCTCTTTCTCTCTCCTCTGTTCAATCAATCTATCCTAAAGCCGGTCAACATTTGAGTGAAGCCTACCAAATAATGTTATATATAGCACATAAAGATGAACATGTTGGTCCAAAAAATTGGTACCTATCCTAGACGGGCCCGGCCCCTGTGCCGAGTCCCGCTAAGTGCAATGCACATGATGCAAATAAAGCGTATCCTACTAGGTATATTCATTGGCTTGTTCTTCTAAGTTTTCAAATCCTAAAGGAGATGGTATCTAGACTTGGCTTACCCGGGCGGACAACCTGAGCCGAGGAGCGTCTAGCATCACCAGTAGTAGATTAGGACTGGCTAGCTAAAGGCTCTCCCGCCTAAACATGTGTGACTAAATCCTTCACCAGAAGCTGGTAGGCTAACTGGCTTTATCTCAAGACATAAATTTTGTGATGCTGGTAGGCAAACACAACATAACTACCTATCAGAAGACTCAGAGGGGTGCAGAAGAGGATACAGTTTATATCATAGTTCAAATAAATATTAAAGCGGTAAATAAGCGATAAATAACACATTAGGCTTGCAAACACAATAATATTCAAAACATGATAAAAGCCAAACAAGGGTCAATATACAAAGCTCGAATTCTTATTAATTGTCCCCAGCAAAGTCGTCATAGCTGTCACACCTCTTTTTTCCAACACGCAACCCTATTACATGGTTGAGTTAGAAGAGTTTTTTCAATTAAAATGACGTTTTGAAAAGGAATTATTTATTATTTAGAGTCGCCACTTGGAATTGAGTTTTGGTGTTCCAAGTCACCTTTTATTGAATCCCTAATCAAAAGGAAGATTTGACTCCTAATTTATGGTATACGAAACAGAAGACTGGGTAAGGAATTTTGTTGAACGAGAGGAAGGTGTAAGGCACCCCTCGAGTCCCGTAGTTCTAGCACGGTCGCTCTTATTGACTAATGTAAGGCTTAAATCATTTTTTTGGCTATTCTTGTATTTTATTGGTTATGGCTTATTCATTACTGATTAATTAACCACATATATATATATATATATATATATATATATATATATATATATATATATATATTTATTTATTTATTTATTTATTTAATTGTGTTCACCAAGATGCGGTACGCACACAAGGTACTTCTTTGAAATTAAATGTTAAACAAGGTACGGAATGTACACATGGTTATAACATAATTATTTTAAATTTAAAGGCATCAAGACGCGAAATGCATACATGATCCTTTTAATATCTAAGCATATCAATTCAAGGTTCGGGTATGAACATATGCTAATATTTAAAGTGTGTCTAAAACTTTTCTAGCGTATTCATGAATTCGAGCCTAAACCGAATAAAGAAACATATTAGGAACTCTTTCCTATTGGATGTCAAGAAAAGATTCAACTTAATTATAACCTTATCTCAATTCCACTATTGTTTATACTAATATGTGAAGGAGATTTCCACAAAGCTATACAATATAGTGACCAGTCAATTATCAAGGCGTTAACACGATCAGCGAAATACTTGAAAAGCAAAGAAGAATGGAAATAAAGCTCAAGCAAATGCTATTCTAAGA